TAGTCCCACGCCTTCTGCAGCAAATAGGGCCCATTGAGGAGGAAGAAGAGGAGGCTTATGTGCACTGAAAGAGGGATGAGTACAGATCATTTGAAAAAGTTGCTAAAGATCTACGCCCTGATCTCAGCAGCCAATTCAGATCGTGATTTTGCAAACGAGAAAATTGTTCACATGGGAATTTCCCTCACTCCTAGGACTGGAAAGAAGTCTCCCCAGCCCAGAAGGAGGGACAAGCCCTAAGAGCTGAGGGAACTCAAAATGCTAATCCTCTCTTCTACTGTCATTGTCTGCAGGATTGCTCATACCAGGAAGAAAAACTTGCAGTAATTCAGGCCCGAGACAGGGTGAAGCCCTAGACAAAAAAATAAGGGACCCAAGAGAGAAGTTCATTCTGGCATCTACTGGCCCTGCTCCTCTCCCGTGGACAGCAGAGACCCTACAGAGGATGAAGATGGAGAGACCAGAAAGGCCAGCAGAGGAAGGGCAGGCCCTCTGCACCCACAGGATGGAAGTCAGCCAGAGGAGACCACTTTCGTGTCTTAACCAGGGTTTCTCACCTGGAGACAGGCGCAGAGCAAATCCCAGCTCCACCACTTGCCAGATGATTAAACTTTGTCAAGTTTCTTAACTTCTCTGAAACTTCTCATAGGCAAAATGGAATAGTAATCACCTGTCTCATGGGGTTGCAATGAGAAATAAGTGAGATAAACAATCACAAAGTCTAGTGCTTAAAAGCAAATTTATCAACAAACATAGTGGGCACCTGTCAAAATTCTTCCGTAATTCAGTAACAGAAGAATCAAGAAAGATTTTTTAAAGTTGGTTGGCAGAATATTTGAGAATATATAAAGACAGTCAGGAAAGAAATGCCTAAATAAGACTCAAGGTAAGTGTAAGACTCTTAACTTTCAACAGGGTGATAAAAATTACAGTCAGGGGTTCAACATCTCTCCTGGGCTGTAAAATCATATTACCTCATCAAGCAGCTGTCAACTGCCTGCTTGTTTATGCGTTGTGTCTTGTTAATCAAATATATTGTGCCAACCATGTTACATTTCCCCAAAGTGCCAGCCGAAGGAAGATTAACAAGTGGCAAGGACTTGCTTCCATTTGGACAAACTCGAGCATGAGATCAAAGGTTTAAGAATCATCACGCTGTCTTTCTCCAGGTCTGAGATGACTTTTCCCCTTTCACAGTGACACCCAGCAGGAGCCCAGTGAGTGCTGGTAGCTTTCCCTCCCCTGCTCAGCCCGTTTGAACTTAGGCTGAATTTCCAAGTCAGGAGACCAGAAAGACGCTGGTATCTGGACCCGACCAGAATGGTTCTGGTTCCCAAGCAGAAGGATGTATGGGGAAGTCTTTCCCACTGGAATAAGCTCTGTGTTCAGCTGTTAGACACCAGTTGCCCAATCCAGATTCTCTCCATGCCTTTTAAGACTTTTGTCACAACTGTGAGGAACTTGGCTAAAGTCAAGACCTTGGGTGGAGAAGCAAGATTTCAGCCAGATCCTCCTTACAGGGCCCGGAAATCTCGGTGGCCGGATCTGCCTCAATTGGTGAGCCAAGGTCTCCCTTGTGGGCTCAAACATTGCATGAGGTTTCCTGATAAACTACTTATTTCTCAACTTCCCAATGCCTTGTTCTTCTTTTGTAGCTGAGGAAACAGAAAAATAAATCACCTTGCTCCGGGCCACCAGCCTGTCTGACTCTGCCCAGTAGGTCCTGCAATGAACACAGCCTTGTGTGTAAACTACAGTCTGTAAGCCTGCCTCCTCCATGGACCTTCCAAGGATGGCATCTCTCACCTCCACCTCATTCTCCATCCAGGCTGCCACTGCTAGCTGGGCCACCTCCCCTGTCCACCATGAGCTCGGGTATCAACCATTGATAGCTCAGGGTCAAAGCAATCCAAAGGGCATTCTGGGCTACTCTCCCCATGGTCCTCTGAATAGGCTCAGAGAAAGCAGACTCTGAGTTTTCAACTAAAAGACAAAGCAATTAATGATGGTAAATCTCCCCCAAGGAATCCATTAACAGCAAGTCCAACAGGGCATTCTCACTGGGGTATGTTGCTCTCCACTCCGACTCTGACACACACACACACACACACACACACACACACACACACACACATCATCATCATCACCAC